CCGCAACGGGAGAGGCCACAACGGTGAGAGGCCCGCGTACCGCAAAAAAAAAAAAAAAAAAAAAAAAAAAAAAAAAAAAAACACAACAAGGGGGGGGGGGGAGGGAATTTTTGCAACATTTAAATACAAATAAAGCATTTTAGTATATAAACAGAGCTTAGAAATCAAAAAGAATATAACGACCATTTGGCACATACAGGTAACTCACAAAAGACTTATAAATGAACTCTAAAAAATGTTTGGCATCACTAATAAACTAACGCAAAGTGATGTGAGATACCTTTTTATAATATATCAGATTGCTAAAGATATTTTTCATCTTCCCAACCTTTTAAAAGTTTTTCCAGTTTTGAGATAGAATTGACATACAATTCAATTGTATGAACAACTGAACTTCTCTTTCTGGTTCTTAAACTATATACGTTTAAGGTGTACAGCATAATGATTTCACCTAAATCGTGAAATAATTACTACAGTAAGGTTCGTTAACATCCATCATCTCATATGGATACAAATATTTTTTCCTTGCGATGAACACCCTTAGGATGTACTCTCAAAACCTGTATATATACCATACAGCAATGTTAACTATGGTGATCATGTTGTACATTACATGCCTAGTACTTACTTACAACTGGAAGTTTGTACCTTTTGATCCCCTTCATGCAATTTCCCCTCCCCATACTCCCTACCTCTGGTAAACACAATCTGTCAGTGAAATCATACAGTATTTGTCTTTCTCTGACTTATTTTACTTGGCAAAATGCCCTCAAGGTCCATCCGTGTTATCACAAATGGTGGGATTTCCTCCTTTTATATGGATTGAGTAATAATCCATTGTGTGTGTGTGTGTGTGTGTGTGTATAAACCACAACTTTATCCATTCATCCATCGACAGACACTTAGGTTGTTTCCATGTCTTCACTATTACAAATAATGCTGCCATGAACACAGGGGCACAGTTATCTCTTCAACCCAGTGTTTTCATTTCCTTCAGATATAATAGTTGATCCTTGAACAATGGGGGGGGGGTTATGGATGCTGACCCTCTTTGCTGTCGAAAAATCAGTGTAAAACATTGCAGTTGGCCTTCTGCATTCACAGTTCTACATCTGTGGATTCAACCAACTGTAGATCATGTAGTACCTTAGTATTTAATACTGAAAAAAATCCAAGTGTAAGTGGACCCATGCAGTTCAAACCTGTTCAAGGGTCAACTGTATTCCCACAAGTGGAAATTCTGGATCATATTTTGAATTTTTTGAGGAACCTTCATAATGTTTCCATATTGGTTGTACCAGTTGCCAATCCCACCAACAGTGCACAAGCATTCCCTTTTCTCTACATACTTGCCAGCATTTGTTCTCTTGTCTTTTTATTGCTCACACTCTGACAGGTGTGAGATAATATCTCATTGTGGTTTCGATCTGCATTTCCCTATTGCTTTAGTGATGTTGAAGATCTTTTCATGTACTTGTTAACCATTGGTATATCTTCTTGGGAAAAATGTCTTTTCAGGTCCTTTGCCCATTTTTAAATTGGATTACTTGGTTTTTTGCTGCTCAACTTTATGAGATCTTTATATATTTTGGATGTTAATTCCTTATCAGATACATGGTTTGTAAATATTTTTTTCCTTTCCGTAGGCTGTCTTTTAATTTTGTAGGTGGTTTCTTTTGCCATGCACAATTTTTCAGTTTGATGTAGTCTCATTTATTTTGTTGCTTGTGCCTTAGGTGTCATATCCAAAAAATCATTGCCACGACCCACGTCAAGGAGTTTTGCTCTGATGTTTTCTACTGGGAATTTTATGGATTGTGACCTCACATTGAAATCTTTAATCTATTTCAAGTCAGTTTTCGTGGGTGGTGTAAGATAGGGGTCTACTTTCATTCTTTTACATGTACATGTCCAATTTTCTAGCACCATTTATTGAAGATACTGTCTTTTCTCTAGTGAGTATTTTTGGCCCCCTTGCATGGGTTTACTCCTGGGCTCTCAATTCTGTTTTGTTGGTCTGTGTGTCTGTTATTATGCCACTGTCATACTGTTTTGATTACTACAGCTTTATAGTATAGCTTGAAAGCAAGAAGTGTGATGCCTCCCACTTTGTTCTTCTTTCTCAAGATTGTTTTGGCTGTCCAGGCGGGGTCTTTTGTGCTTCCATATAAATTTTAGGACTTTTTTTCTATTTCTGAAAAGAAAAATGCCATTAGAATCTTGATAGGAATTGCATTGAATCTATAGATGGCTTTGGGTAGTATGGACATTTTAACAATTCTCTCAATCCATGAGCGTGGGATATCTTTCCAGTTATTGTTGTCTTCTTGGATTTCTTTCTTCAGTGTCTTGTAGCTTTCAGTGCAGAGATCTTTCACCTCCATGGTTAAATCAGGTATTCTATTCTTTTTTTTTTTTTTTTTTTTTTTGGTACGTGGGACTCTCACTGTTGTGCCCTCTCTTGCTGTGGGGCACAGGCTCCGGACGCGCAGGCTCAGTGGCCATGGCTCACGGCCCCAGCCGCTCCGTGGCATGTGGGATCTTCCCGGACCAGGGCACGAACCCGTGTCCCCTGCATCGGCAGGCGGACTCTCAACCACTGTGCCACCAGGGAAGCCCCAGTATTCTATTCTTTTTGATGCTACTGTAAATGGGATAATTTAAGTCTCTTTTCCATATAATTCATTATCAGTGTACAGAAATGCTACTGATTTTTGTATGTTAATTTTGTATCCTGCAACTTTACTGAATTGATTAGATCTAGCAGTTTACTGATGGAGTCTCTAGAATTTTCTATGTATAAAATCATGTCATATGCAAATAGAGACTATTTTACTTCTTCCTTTCCAATCCTAATGCCTTTTATATCTTTTTCTTGCCTGATTGTTCTGGCTAGGACTTTAAGTACTATGTTGAATAGGAGTGGTGAGAGTGGGCAGCCTTGCCTTGTTGCTGATTTTAGAGGACAAGTTTTTAACCTTTCACAATTGAGTATGATGTTAGCTGTGGGACGGTCATATATGGCCTTTATTATGTTGTGGTATGTTCCTTCTATACCTAGTTTGTAGTTTTTAACAACTGTCATAAATAGTGGTTAAATTTTGTCAGATGCTTTTTCTGCATCTATAGGGATGATCATATGATTTTTTTCCTTTCATTCTATTAATTGATGAATCACATTGATGGATTTGTGTCTGAACTATCCTTGTATCTCAAGGATAAATCCCACTTGGTCATGGCAAAAGATCTTTTTAACGTGCTGCTGAATTCAGTTTGCTAGTATTTTACTGAGAATTTTTGCATCTATATTCATAAGGGATATTGGCCTATGGTTTTCTTTTATGGGAGTGTCCTTTTCTGGCTTTGGTATGAGGGTAATGCTGACCTTGTAAAACGAGTTTGGGAGTTTCCCACCTCCTCAATATTTTGGGAAGAGTTTGAGAAGGATTGCCATTAATTCTTGTTTAAATGCTTGCTAAAA